GGCGCCCCCTGGAGTGGCGCCGCCATGGCAGGGCATAAGTACCCCCCCTGCCGGCGCTGCCCCACCTCAGTTCCTTCTTGCCGGATACTCCAACGAAGGGGAGGTAGGGTGGGAGTCGAATGGACATGAGCAACACATCTCGAAGAACAACAGTTACAGGTAAGTAACCATTCTTCTCTTCTTCGAGTGGTTGCTCATGTCCATTCGAAGTAGGTGACTACCAAGCTAACCCCATGGAGGAGGGGTCGGAACAGTCATAGCACCAGAGTCATAAGGGAAGGTGAACAATAAACAGATTTATTTGAACAATTAAACAGTGACAAGTTACCAACCCAGAACAAAGACAACCAGATCTATATATTTACATCACAGATTTGAGGACTGCAGAGCCCACCCTTGCATCCTCCCTGGCCTGTTGAGGTAGCGCATAGTGTGTTGCAAACGTGTGAAGGGAAGACCAGGTGGCTGCCCTGCAAATTTCTGTGATTGGTACCTGGGCACCAAAGGCTACCGAGGATGCCTGCGCCCTGGTAGAATGTGCCTTCACCCTGGGTGGGGTTTTACCAGCCAGTTGATAACACTCTGCTATACATTGCACCACCCATCTTGATAACCTTTGCGTAGAAATAGGTGAACCTTTCCCTCTATTCCCAAACGCAACGAACAATTGTTGGGATTTACGGAAGGGCTTGGTTCGGTCAATATAGAATACCAGCACTCGCTTGGCATCCAGGGAGTGTAGAACGCGCTCCTTATGGGAGGCGTGTGGTTTAGGGAAAAACACCAGTAGATAAATCTCCTGAGACAGGTGAAAAGGAGAAACCACCTTCGGGAGGAAGGCCGGATGAGGCCGTAGCCTTATGTTATCATGCGAAAAAACAAGGTAGGCGGTTCTATAGTCAGCGCCCTTAGCTCTGATACCCTTCTAGCTGACGTAATGGCTACTATGAAAGCAACCTTCAATGAAAGGTGCTTCAATGAACACGTAGCCAATGGCTCGAAAGGAGGAAAAAAAAA